CAGCCATATTCCGAGCTTCTTGCATTTTACAGTAGTTTCTAACTCGTTGTTCAGAGATATCCGTCTTCAAATATGCTACTGAATTCTGTTAATTACTCACACAAACCCGTGAATAGCAATTCGAAAGCTCCTCTAAGGTTTGAATTCAGTGAAACTTAAGAAAGGTTTTTGAACGGTGTATATACGATTAAAAATACAAATTTATTACTCGTATACAGAGAGTTAACGTAAATATACGCAAAGACCTGGTCAGGTTCTTGCTCTCTTTCTTTTTTACCAACCTAGATATGAAAAAAACTGTTGTCAGCCCTGCCTCGAACCTCATGTAAAATATCAAGCGCAACTACCTTCTTTATAATGGAGAGGATTTTGGCGGTTTTGTAATACACAATAAACAATAGGCAGCTAAAATATGCATTCGTCACTTTTAATGCTTAATTCTACTGAAGGCGGAATTACGTTAAAGTGTAGAGCGTCCCTCGGCACACTTTGTAAATATTGCATACAAAAAGATGATATGAGATGATGACAATGAGACATTCAATGCCTTCTTCGCTTTATAGTTTGTTGATGATTTTTCTTTTGTTTTCTCGCTTTTGTCAAGATACCTTTATAAAAAAAAACTCGCGCATTTCTGCACTACGTACATTGGCCCAAGTTTTTAATAATATCAAGCGAGCGTCGACCGCCGGGCCGGCCAGCGCCGTGCCGCGGAGGGGTGCGGCATAGGGGAGAGGTTAGGCGCGTGCGCACAAAGCTCTTTCTGGGGTTGTGTGCGGTCAACTGAATAGTCTAGCAGACGGCGCTCGCACCGGAAAGAGCTTTGTGCGTACGCGCCTAATCTCTCCCGTATCGCCGCACGTCTCCGCGGCACAAAGCTGGCCGGCCCGACGGTCGACGCTCGCTTGATAATATTAAAAACTTGGACCTCTGTACATGCTAGGGGGCTGGGGATCGGTTCCTTCGACAGATATTCTTCCTGAACCCGTTGAGTTCCTTGGACAGATTTTCTTCCTGAATCCGCACCATATGTACTATATATGCTTTAATGTTGTAAAAGATGGGCTACAGAAGGATTCGAGAGAATAGCTGGTTGAAATCTTCACCGACATTCGCATCGGAAGACTGCCTGTACTAGAGACTGGAGACGAGGAATGGTTGTGCGTGTGCCGAAGAAAGGAGAAGATCGGCGTTACCACTGGAACTAGAGGCCCCTTACAGTCACCAGCATTGTGTACGGGGTTTTCGCATGCATCCCGAAAGAGCGCTTGACAACGTGGGTGTAGAAAGAGGGTGTTTTCCCCGAGCTACAAGGAGGGTTTCGTCGTGGTCGGCGATTGGAAGACAACGTCTACACCCTAGCACAGTGGATTGAAGTGGCTCGAAAAGAGGAGACAAGACTGATATGCGCCTTCTTAGACATCGCTAAGGCTTATGACAGTGTTCCACACGACAAGCTTTTATCATGGCTGCAGCAGCTCTATATACCGACACCTGGACCGAGCTTATTAATCCATTATACACAGGCAACCCGTTGACAACTGAGGTGGGAGAGGTGAAAGCAGAAGAGATTGTAGTGACACGTGGATTGCGTCAGGGGTGTCCACTCTCGCCGCCTTTCTACATGTTGTTTCTCGCGCGGCAAGAGAAGCGTTTGATAGAAGCAGATTGGGCTTCTCGCTACTGCACCTGGAAATGGAGACGCCGTGAACTGGACGCTACCGGGTCTAACCTTCGCAGACAACATTGTGCTGACTGCGGGCTGTGAAACGGAAATGCAACAACTTCTCGACATATAGACTCAGGAGGCTGCCGTGCTTGGTCTCAAATACAAAATATCCAAGTTCACCGTGATTCAGTTCGCGGGCACTGAGAAAGAAAATCTCGATTGCCTCAGACTGGGTTTTGACTTATTATCGGTACTGAACAAGTATAAGTACATATGTGTTGTGTCGCCGAACGAGGCAGACTCTCTGAAAGACTACTGCGCACACCTCCGTCAATCCACCACACGGGGAGCTAACATCCTCCTTAAGTGCAGCCTATGGAGCTGTAATAGATTCATAGTGAGCCGCGAAATGTGGTAGGCGGTGTTTGTGCCAGTCTTGACATTCGCCAATTCAGTGTTGTGTGTACCAGGTGACATAAGGACCTCCTTGGAGCGCGAACAACAATAACTGGGACGCCAAGCGCTGGGCTGCCATGGCACGGTGGCGAATGACGCAGTGCAAGGGGACCTGGGCTGGCCGTCTTTCGAAACGATGTAGGCTACAAGCAAGGTTACCTACGACGGGCAGCTTCGACTCATGAACCGGTGACGCTGGGCCAAGAGGCTCTTCATATCTTCATATGCGCACATATGACTTCTCTGCAGAGTTGGCAAAAACGCCTTTACCAGATGGAGAAAAAATTCGGCTTCTACACAAAACCGGTTTAGGCGACCACAAAAAAAAGGGAGTTTGTGGTGCGCAAGTGAGTTCGTGAACAGGAGAACGCGCAATGGTGGAACGCTGCCCGGACAACGCTACCCGGATGTATGCGGAAATAAAAGAGCAAATCACGGCAGAGACGCGGCTGTACGACAACAGCTTGGGCAGCCGCCTATTGTTCGAGGATCGTGCGGGTGCTCTGCGCACACTGGTGTACAAACAGCGCTTCGAGAATAATGTGCAGTTGACTGCGTGCCGAGTGTGCGAGGTTGAGAGCCAGACAGTGGAGCACATCATACTCTATTGTGGCGGAATCCGACCATCTGCCACATCTCCCACCGAAGAGGCGAACCAACTGCACGGAGGTGTCCCGCCTCTAGCGACGGCGCTCGGCTTCTCGACAACAAGCGAAAGAAACAATAATAGTTAGGCCTTTTGGAAGACCATCGAGCAGACGAAAAGACGGCTGGAGGACTGGTGGCATCAAACACAGCAGAGGGGGCGCTGAATTCACTCCCAGGCTGGGGCTTGATTAATCGAGCCCACCCGTTATAAAGGGAGCAGCCGCAGTATCATCATCATCATCGAAGAAACGCAGATTCAGTTCGGTGCACGCTTCGGTGGCGCAGTCGGCGAAGTATTCACTGCGCCGAAGCTAGCTGCAAAGACAAAAACAAAGAGCCCTGTACCCCTTGCGGTTTCATTATTGGTTTGCCCCCTGCCCCTCAAAACAGGGCTGTCCTTTTTTTACCGTACGTTCAGCGACATACATGAGCACATGTTAAAAATAATATTTTATCTTATAGTGATACCCTTGGATGCATGTATTTGTACGCGTCTTCCTTTAAAATGTGCTTCATCGTTGTTTCAGAATCGTAAATATACATCGATCAACATCGCACATTTCGGCACATGCAGCCTTTCAATGCTTGCGCAGGCGAATATAGCCTGTTTTATCTCTAAATTAACAACCTTTTCTTTTGTTTTTGGTATTTCTTCGTGGGATAGGCCTGCGCACGTTTTTTTTTTTCGATGTGGACTCTTCCTACAAGTTAGAGCTAACACCGGCCTTGAGGCGATTGAATTCCTTATCAACTCGAAATTTTGATGAATCTAAAACAACGATGCTACAGTTTCTAATAAACAAAAGACGAGTAAAGTCGCTCAAAAGGGTGACCTCAGGGTGCGAGGTCAAATTCCCACTGCACTGGGCCTTGTCTTGAAACCTACAATACGAGAAATATGTCATATAGGTTGGAGGCATTCAGATACCAAATAACTTTTTTGCGCATAAAACGGTGCGTATTTTATAATAAATATCCTTCACAGAGCTTCCTCAAATATTATTGACTCCAGCATTTGTATTTGGGATGCGGGGAAAACACCCGGCACTCAACCCGTCACTTTTAACCGCAGCTTACGCTTCGATTCGATAGAGCCAATCGAACACCGCCATGGCGCTGCTTGTTTTTTTTGTTTTTTTTTTTGCATCGTCATTGCGTTTTTTGTTTTTTTTTCTTTTTGGTATCGCGTTTAGGTCATTCACGCACAAATAGATCCCTGGATCATGGAGCAATTACTGTGCTTAACGCGGAGCGCGAGTTCGTCTGCTTCATTTGCAGAGATTCTGGTGACCTCAGAAGGCTGAGTTCTGATTGGTTCTGATTGAAGGATAGTGGGCGGACCTCGAAGCAAGCGTGCCTTGAGGTCAATCCGGTATCCTTCAATAAGAGCCAATCAGAGCTCGGCGTTTTTCTGACGTCATCAGAATCTCTGCAAATGAAGCAGACGAACTTGCGTTCCTGCATGGGTGCAGCTGGTGACAAAAAAAAAAAAAAATGCACGAAGACACTGTACGCCGCGCGATGATGCAAATTTGGTACTGCATGATTGCCGCCATCGTATTGTAGCGTTGACTGCGGTGGAACCTGATAGAGACTTTTAGGGAACCGTTTTTGCCCATCCGATACGGTACGATGGGCCCTCCGGTACGAACTGCGCCTGCGCTACCACAGAAGACTAACGCATACGCGCAGTTCATACCGGAGGGTCCGTCGTACCGCATCGGATATGCAAACACGGTTCCCTAAAAGTCTCTAATGTGAAACATACTGTACCACAGTTGTCTTCCCATACCTTAGAGCGGCATTCGCTCTGCCAGAAGAAGCGAGGTACGGAAAAAGAAATCGCCTTAGTCCATCTTTGGTGTTCTGAAATCCACTGTTCGCGGCGGGCGTTCGGCATAGGTAGCTCTGCCGTGATAGGCTGACAAAAAAAAAAAAAGAAAGCATGCGTAGTGCCGAAACAAGGCTGACTCAAAGCAAAAGGGTGTAGAAGTCGACCCCACGACCTTTCAGCCTGCCCCACGACGTTTCATGTATCGACCGACTTCCACGTGATTTATTAACTTTTGTTGCCTCAACATATGGCGTTGACTACGCAGCAAATGCCGAGCAGCTGTTGTATAATGGGGTTCATGAAGCTCCCACGTGTAGCGCAGAAGTGAAGAAAATGCAGACTGTTGTAGAAAAAGACAGAAGCAGCAAGATATAACTTTATTTTAGGGTCGTAATGGGTTCATCCTACTTTGCTTTCGCGGCCATCTTCTCCACATCGCTCAGTAAGTATACATGCAGTTCGAATATGAGGTGCCGAACTCAGATATTTGAAGCCTGAGTACTCCACACAAGTATTAAGAGAATCGTGAAAGGACTTTTAAACAAACTTGCTTAGAATTATATATATATATATATTTAAACTAATATCACTGGATATATGTTATATCACTGATGTAAAAAGAACAGCGAGGGGTGCCAGATATAAAAATTATCTCTGTAATGTCTCCGACGTCATCTCACTTAGGTTTCTAAATTCATCAGTGGCATGCATTGTTATTTTTTGAGCCCATCTGTGCATTTACAATAGAAGATTTAGCTCAAATTTGTTTTACGTTTTAAGCCTTAACAAGTGTTGCGAGCAAATAAGCGGTTTTATTTGGATTCGCGCAGTGGGATACACCTGTATTCTTTAGTTTTTTTTAAATTTTATACGCACTGGCGTACACCACGTGAAGCGCAACGTTTTTGATCCAGACATATATATTTTCAAATAAATAAAATCACAAAGAAACGGAGAAGTAAGCCGAAGTAGTAAAAATTATAGACAGTGACATTTTGATTGGATTTCTAATCCAAGCTGTTATACCGACTGGTCCTAGAGACGTTTTTTTTATAAACGGTGATTTGTGTATTTGGCATTTATCGGTCTCTATGTCGCGCCGTTGCGGAAGCCACATCCCCCTTTAATTTGCCGTTTTCAGAAAGAAAAGATCATATATAGATTATGATGATTAAAACCTGAGACTAGAAAGGATTATTGCAACAAAGTAGAAGGGAAATCAGAAAGTTGAACGACATTATGAGTAATAAGCACCAGCTCACGCGCACTTCGTCCAGTTTCTTTTTTTCTAATCGTACAAAGTCGTTTTTGAATGAGTCGCACATCTGTGTACGGTGGGTGCAGTCGTTGCAACCGTGGACCAATCCTGTTGCGTTACTAGACGATTTTGACAGCTGGAAGAGCGGAGCATTGGCGTGTGCTCTGCTAGTCTTCCCTCGTCATAAACGTTGAAACGACCTACATCTTGTAGACTTAAGGTCCATACTCATAAAAAAATAAGCGCACATAAGTCGCTCCAGAAAAACCGCGAAAAACTCAAATATGGAGTAAACTACTAAGACAGCATTAAAAAATGAAAGGCTGTAAATTTGACGAAAACATGTAACTGCAATCATGAAGCTGCACAGCGAAAAGTAGCAACAACTACATATTGTTTTTCAAGAAGGCCCTGAAAACAAAGGGCGGAAATCACTACTTAGGCTAAAAGAATCTGCTCAGAGGGCTGAAAACGAAAATGGCAAAAACATATATATATATATATATATATATATATATAAACGAACTCAACTCTCCTACGTCACGCCGCGGTGGTGGCGCGTCGGGCGCACTTCCGGTCTGGGGTGGTGGGCAGAAGTCGCGGTGGGAGATATGCATTCCTGCATTCTTTTGGGTGAAACCAGACAAAAAACCTGCCTTCTTGTCAAAATGCTGTGACGGGGCTGTACCAAGAGAGTCTGGAAAGGTTTGAAGATCAGTTTTCATGTGTTTCTGCCCCTCCGTTTGTCCGAGAAAGCGGATAGTAGCCGTAACAAGGGCAAACCAGACGCTGTCGAACTACGATTGCTTGTGCGGGCAACACTTTGTGCTCGCCAGATGTAGTTATTGTGTTCCAACATGAACGAGAGAAAACCGCCAAGTTGTCCGGACCACCAGCGGGTGCAGTGAGTCTTCAAATTCACACGGCCGCCTGATAGTTCGAACTTTCGTCTCCTCTTTCGAACTTGTCTGCTTTTTGTCGTCTGCTCGTTCAAACAAAAGCGGCCCGTAGACCAAACTTTGACCTGGTGATTGCAATAAGAAGTAATTACAGGCCTCAAAAGAGTTAAGTTGGCTCGGTGAAAACAGTCGATAGAAGATGTTGATGATTGGTACCAGTGGCCATCACCGACTTGTTATGCTTGGTGTGTTCCAGCTTCCGATTTTCGGTATCGACGTCGATCATCGCCGCTACCTTCTGCACCTTTGCAGCCCGAACGACGTTGCGACCGAAAATAGCTAGAAGAATCTCGTTGTGGTTTTGGCGTCCATTCTGCGGCGTTCATGAGAATGAATCGCCGCACGTCAAATTATTTACGCTAAGTTTAGCGGCGTAACGAACCTTGATAATTTCGCTCAGGCGATTAAAGTGGTAAGACATTGCTATGAGGACGTAGAATTCGACCATTCCAACGCGAAAAAGAGTATGCAGACGCACACAGACGCCGACAACGTGACATTCCAATGGTTTGTTGACGCGGAACGCGGTGCTTCTTGCCCACACTCCATTGCGCATCCGTTCGAACTGTCGTCTGCTCTTCCAAGCTTGTCTGCTTTTTGTCGTCAGCTCATTCAAACGACAGCGGCCCGTAAACTAAACTTTGACCCGGTGATTGCGATAAGAACTAAGTGCTGGCCTCAAAACACTTTTGAAGGTTGGTTGGGGTAAGTAGGCTAAGTGTAAACAGTAGATACAAGAAGATGTTGATCATTGCTACCACTGGCCGTCACCGACTTGTAATGCCCGATTCTACTTGCGGCTTTCAGTATCGACGTCCACCATCTCAGCTACGGTCCACACCTTTGCAGCCCGAGCGACGTCGCGACTGAAAATAGCGAGATGAATCTCATCGTGGGAGTCAAACTTTAGCGCCCATTCTGCGGCGTTCACGTAAAATGAATCGCCGCACGTCCCATTATTCACGCAAAGTTTTGCGATGTTACGAGCCTCGTTAATTTTGATTAAGCCGCTCAAGTAGTCATACATTGTTAGGAGGACGTAGAATAAACAATTCCAACGCAAACAAGAGCACGGGGACTCACACCGACGCCGACAAGAACGCAATTCAATGGTTTGTTTATGGGCGACGGCGAGCTTCTTGCCCACCGTCCACCGCGCATGCGCGGCGCCGATGGCGTCCGCTAGGGGCGCTCCGGTTTGTTTGTAAACATGAGTTGGTGTATATATAACCTACCTGATATATTGCCACAAGCGCAGCTGACCAAGCAGCCAACGCGCTCGATCGTGGCCTAACGGTTATCGCGCTCTCCTTCCACGCAGAAAGCCAGGGTTCAATTCCTGACCGCGGGTACGCATTTTCGTTGTCTCTAATGTGATATTCTGGTAAATTCGAGAACCGTGTTGGCTAATTCGAGGTTAGAATGTTCTACGCGTCGAACCTTCTATGCCGACCATCCCAGAAGCCTACGCGTCATTTCGCCCCAGCGCTCGATCCTGCGGTTTCGCCGACATCGACGCCCGCGACGTTCTGCTGTTTTCTTCTGTTACCTTCTTTGGGCACAAGTTCGCCCCATTAAATGTTTAGTTTCTTCAGTTATCATTGCCTCATCAATTGTCATTCGTGACAACATTACGCACGGTAAACAAATTTCTGCGGGCAGTTGTACCAGTTCTTCGGTTTATTTAATAGGACTAGTGTTTCAAACGAATTCCTTAATGTCGCGGTCATATAATACCATCCTATAAAAGACAATCTGCAGAGACTTTCTGAGGCGTGTCTCTTCCTTGTGTCACATTGTTCGTGTCACATTCTTTCACATTGGTCATGCCACGTTGGGCACGTCACATTGGTTAAACTAAGACCTCCTTCGAATCTGCTTGAAGCGCATATATGTGGAAAGCAAAAGTGCCTCGAACCTGCTTGACACGTGATCCGAAGATAATTCTGCAATCGTGTCTGTAGAGAACATCCTGACCCTTGTATGATGTATTAAATGTGTCGGAACAGGTAATGCTCCGGTACTTGCAGACAACTTTGAATGTCGCATTCCCGATTAATTTCCCTAATACAAACAAATACCTGCCTTCATCTCACAGTGGGTATAGTCGCTCAGCGGGGACTTCCACCTGAGCAGGCTAGTTCTGTCTTCGCTTTCCGCGCCTGAAAGTGGAGACGAGGTTATGATCGCCGTCACCAATAAAAAAAACCGCGCTTCGTTTTTTTTTTTTCGTTTTTTTTTTCAGATTGCAATTTTGAATATTGACAGCCTGTAATCTAGTTTTCTCGTCTCTACTGGCCGATCTCAAACAATGGACAATATATTGTCGTTTCTTTGGTATTTCTTCATGTGGAAACCTTAGGCTAAAACGGCGATCAAATGCTCTACAAGGGAAAAAAAAAAAGAGTGGAAGGAAATAAAAAAAAAGCCTACAGATATTTGTAATACAGTTGCCAACAAGACATGACGTCAATACTAACGTCAAAGGGAAGTGAGTGCTTAGATTACAATAAACATTCGTTGCCTCAGAAATCGTAGAGGGGCGTATAACCCCGAGTAAAATATATTGAGTTTTTCAACACCTCTACTTCGTAAACGTTTGCGGGCTCAATAACATCACTTCCACAATACGCAATAACACGTGCCTCGACGTAGCACGTAAACATGTGAAGAAATTGGCAACGAAAAGAAAAAGAAAAATCACAGCTGCTATCGGGCTATGCGAGGGTTACCCCTAGGCGCTCATATACCGAAGCCAGTGTTGTACGGAACGGCGTTCCAAGGAACGGCGTTCCTGGAACGCGTTCCTTTTAGAAGGAACGAAGGAACGCCGCCGTTCCATTTTGCATCGCTGGAACTGGAACGGGAACGCGTTACATTTTTAGTGGAACGGAAAGAGTAACGGCGTTCCTTTTTTTCGTCCAGTGGGGTAATTTTTTATTTTGTTTCGAACAGGTAAATACAAAAACAATATCTTTACCAAGTGCAGGATCTCGTTACCTTTTTGGCTACTAACCTTGTGGATTATTTTGTGTGGTTCTCGCTTGCTAACAGTTTCCGGTGCAGAAAAGCTAATGGACATTGATTTTTTTTCGAGTGCCCGAAACTGCGGTACAAAAAGGAAGGCTTTTAGTCCTAGCAAACGACAAAGAAAGAGGGTTGTTTCAAGCTATGCTATTTTCTTTCGTTCCACGAATCCTCATACACCCAGAAATCTAACTACAGCCACAGCCACTTGTGAACTTCCATAAAGAGGCCTACAGTTACAACAAGATCGCAGACTGCCAGACATGGAACGCACCATTGTATCCCGAACATTGGTCACTTAAAAGATACCCCCCCCCCAAAAAAAAACAAAACAAAAAAAAAAACTTTTTTTTTTTTTGTTTTTCCCCACCTTCAAAATGAACAACTAAGCCAACTTTACAAAGAAGTATTTGTAGTTTTTAAGACTGACCTTCCAAAAGCCCCACCCTCTCCTCGACTTGCTCGTCTTGCGGACAGCAACATCGAGAAGCAACTGTTGTTAAGTTCGAGCAAGGGACCTTGCTCAATTGAAACGTGTGAGGTTGTTGTAAAATACTCGTACAGTCGTGGGTAAAGGTACATTCGGCTCGCCTGAATCGTTCACTAAAAACATGAATATGGTTAAAAGCTGAGATTTTTAACTTAAATATATCAACAAATAAAACCCTGCTTCCGCTTGTTTTCTTCTCCTGTTGCCCATCCATAACGACACACAAACTCGTATGTTGACTACTAATGGGATAGATAAAAAAACTCTGCTTGATTAAACTAAATATAGTAATTAGTAAAATACAAATGTAACGTATATGTAACGATACGTTCCATTTGTTAAACTGTAACGGGAACGAGTTCCTTTTTCACAGATGTAACTTGTAGCGGGAACGCGTTCCAAAATTCAGAAGGAACGAAGAACGAGCTTTCGTTTCTTTTTTTTTGAGGAACGTGTACAACACTGACCGAAGCCATTATGAGCCAGGCCTGCCAACGAGCGTTTAGGAGCAGAAGGTGCCATGCCAAGAAGGCGTGAGACCTCTTCGCCTCCATAGTTTTTCCGAAACTACCTGGCCTGATTGTGATATCCAGTGGCGTATTGGAGGAGTGAACTAAATTAATGGCAACTAGGGTTCCAAGACACAGTATTTTAAATTGGTTCGCATAGTGTATGATAGCAATTTTCAGAGAAGACTAAACTTCAAATACCATTTTCTTGTTTTAAATTTTTGAATCTCGGCACTTTAATTGACCGTGGGAATTGTAGACACGAAGTGTTTTTACAAAAACGCATCGGAGGTCATACTGATGCACCAGATTTTTTCGGGCAGCGTAAAGCTACGTATCTCAGCTAAATTCATGCGACATTGCGGAGTACTTAATCAAGACATGCGATTTGAAGGATCACCATTACATCGAATTAAGGTATTTTTCAATAGCCAAGTGTTGAGGACAATTTCTTTTCCATACAATATTTTACCTGTGAATAGCCGAATATACTTGTAATATAAGTTATTATGACTTAGGCTCTCTTATGGGATATAGTTATTTTATGTTTCATGAGTTGCATGCTATTATTTTTTATGTCAACTGACTTCTGCTGTGCACCAGTGTCAAGACCTTCATGGCGTTTTTGGGCGCGTTATAAATATCAACATCAACACCAAAGCGGGGCGTAGTCGAGATACCCGGGCGATGACAAATGTAGACAGCGTGAGATGCATAGGACCGTTCCTAATCGAATCGATATCTTGCTCATACGCTCCTAAACAAGACGAATAATATGAATAGTTTTGTTCTGTTCAATGCACTTAAAAGCTTCGAACCAACCTTGATGTGGTCTGCCAACGTTTTCGAAAAGAATGACAAAACATAGATAACTTGTTTAGTTCAAAATATCTTTGAAAGCGTAGCAGCTTAGAATTTGTGGCCTTGTAATACATATCTCCCAAACACTGTTTACAGGACTTTCAGTCACGGGGCCCATAAGCAATGATGTATTTGGAATCGACTGTGGCCGGCGTCAGCAACAAGATATTGTATCCGAACGAATCGTTAACGGCACACCAGCACATCCACACCACTGGCCGTGGATGGTGGGGCTGTATACTGCTGATGGCAAATTCTATTGCGGCGGCGTTTTAATAAGTAACCAGTATGTCTTGACCGCTGCTCATTGTTATAAGTACGTATATATATATATGTCTTTAATAACAAAGTATTATGATCCCAGGATCCCCATTTTGTTCGGGGATTTGGTTTATAAACGTCGGCTGTTGGCGAGGTGCAGAGACGAGCCAATAAAGGTTGGGGATTTGCAAATACGTATGCATTTCTGGGGCACTGCTCGGCCCTAGATGATGCCTGTAAAATGTTTTTTTTTTTTAAATAATCAGTGTGTGTGTGATTTCATCAGTGAAGCCTACACAGCGGGCGCGCTCTCAAGTTCTTGTAAGAAGTCGTCATCTAAAATAAGTAAGCCAGGAGTGCCGCGTCTTCTCCTCTGCAATACCTTTAGTTTTAAGAATCAATATGATGCAACTAAAAAAGCCACGGTTCTACCAAAATCGCTGTTTAAAAGAAGCTTCTCAGATCGCGTAGTTCTTTGGGGCCTAAATGTTGCATCGTGTATGATATTTTAGGGCCTTACGAAGCCCAAAAAGTTAAGGTAAAGTCAAACGTTACTGCTTTGGTTAGTGTTTAAGTATACTGGCCCTAATTAGTCATACAAATGCCAAAGTTAAGCTTCCCTGCTGGTAATTCGCCTGCCACCTTGCACGTTTTGGCCTAAGTAGGCAATCAAGTGCCAGTGTTATGCTTTACATATGATTGTTGTGTTTCTATGTTGTAAAGTAAGGTCAAAATTGACAAAAAAGCACCAGATTTAGGCTTCTCTGCTGGATCCAATTAGTTTTCATAAGTGACATCTTTAATTCAGACCTGGTACTTTGGAACTTATGTGGTGAGCCGGAGAAAAGTCATAGAAACGCAAAAGAAAAGTTCTCTTACGCTTACTAACGCCTTGGCGTTAGTTAGCGTAAGAGAGCAAGACCTTATCGTAGCCCAAGTTAGGCTCGTTGCATTGCCAACTTGTGCCGTGTGAGGCGTTTGTCTAGCTTCGTACCTGTGTCAACTCCTCTATGCGTTTATGGCGATTATTAAGTCGACATTTCAGATGAATTTCTCCTCCGATACGGATTTTCTGCACAATGTAGATGGAACTCCAGTAACTGCGCCTTCGCTGATCTACCCCCGCAGATTAAAGAGATTCTTTTCGATATTAAAGAAACAAAACAAAAAGAAGTAAAAAAAAAAAAAAACAGATTTTATTTTTGCTAAGAATATTTTTGAATGCTTAAGCTACACTTTACAAACTCTGGTGCGCCTACTTTCACGTACATCACGTGGGAGGACCGATCGCTGCAAGCTCGTGGAACTTCGTGCTTAGTGTCTCTGGGCCGCCAGATATCTTTAATAACTTTCCAGTCTCTTTTGCTGTTCGCCCTCCGTACACTGCCGTGATGGGTTCTTTCAAGTGTTGTGGAAGAAAGTATACGTGTTAAGATGTTATGATATTGTTTCGTTTTGTTTTGAAGGATCAGAAAGGAAAAGAAGCTCGGGTTGCTGAGCCACATTTTATCTCGCCACTCCCCGCTCTGTATCCGCCCCCGGGTCTGCTGACGTTAGCACTATACGGCTATAACTTAAATTCCGACAAATATTTTTATCACACAATATGTCATACTTACTAATAACGCTCTCAATATTTAGCGTTGGGTTTGTATGCACGAGTTTTTCTAAGCTGGGCCGCTAAATTCGCTCTCTTTAGAGGAGTTTAGGGCGACAATGCTGGTATCCCGGTAATTTGGCGGGCAAACAGGATACGCTAATTATCACGGGAGGGAAGTGCGCTATAATTGGCGTTAGTATTTTTGTGTTACAATTGTTAAGCACATTTACAATAGAACTCTATTCCTAACAGGGGCGGATGCAGAAATTTCTTAAGGGGGGGGGGGGGTCAGGTGTTGGTCAGCGTACCACATGTATAGAAACCCCTCCCCCCTCCTTCCCCCGTTTCCACGCCCTAAATCTTTACACATGGAGAAATCAAGAGGGGGGTCAGGACATCCGGACCCCCCCTCTAAATCCGCCCCTGATTTCTAAACACATTTTATGATCAATGGCACCATAATTGCTGCTTTAAATAAACAGGCTATACGCTCTTAAAACTCTGACTCGGAAGATCCCAGATATTAAGAGTAGCGAACTGAGTCATAGCCTCCTCTATGTGGGATGCCTGGTCAACGGCGCGGCGCACCGTTGTTTGGCTGCGCCGGGGCTACTTCGGAGTAGCGCCGCTATAGGCGGCGCCTGCAGATTAGCGTGGAGCAGACGACGCGCGGCAGTAGCGCGTAGCGCCGTACGCCGCCAGGTCAGGATGAGCGACGCACAATATGTTAAAGAAATGTGATAGATTTATGCCAAAGTTCAGTAGCATTATCACATGCTCAGGTGGCCTTATTATATGCCTATTCTGGCACCAAGCTTGACCATTTTAGCTTTTCACCGCTTTTAATTTTAGTCAAGAGGAGACACACCGCGCTAAGAATCGCTTCCTGTATACTTTGTTTCTGCTTAATAACAAAGCACGAGATCCTCAGGCGTTTTCCGGATTTAGCCAGAGCACCCTCCGACCAGCATCTACTAGTCGGATGCAATGTAGATTTAATGATTATATTTTTCTACTTTCCACTTTCGTGCGACAGAACCTGCGTTGCTTTTTACATGAAATATATGTTTCACAGTTTCAAACAACAAACACTTGGAAGAACTTTGGGTGTTAATGCAATCCAAAGGGAAAAAGCAATTATGCTAGAATTTACCTGAATTTATTGACAGGAAAGGTACAACAAAATCCACACTACAGCTTTCTTCACAGCTTTAGAGATTTTTGAGACACTGGTTTCGAGAAGAAAGCCTTAGCCAGGTCGTTATTGTCCGTCACAGACAAAGCATAATTGATGAGAACGGGTCTCATGAACTTGGTGCAGACAAGCTGCAGGAGATGCAGGTGGTGTCCAGTGGAAGCACTCTTCGGAACTTCACAGTGCACCAGCGCGGGAACAGCATTCTCGACGGCTTCCTTTAGATGTTTTGTCAAAACCCCCCTCTTGCTCACGATCACTTCGATGTACTTCCTTAAAGCGTACAACACATGTACCAGCTTACGTGAGGGGTACAGGAGCCCTCCTCTGTCTTGGTGTCGAATGAGGCTGTCACCTGGGGCAGAGGAAGTTGGTTTCGCCATGAGTGAAATGCAGCTACTATATTCGATCTTTTCTTGGATGACACGAGCCAGATAGCCACCTACCATGGCAACTGCAGCCATGTCCGCCGTGGGAAGGAAACTTGTTTGGTTTCTTAGGTGATGTTCGAGAAGCCCTTTCGCCTCTACCGGGAACCGGCTTGGTTGCACTTCTCTCGGCTTAGCGGCGCCACGCAGGGCCTCAGATTCGTGGCTTGTAGAATCAACTGCATTGCTGTTCTTGGAAGCAGAAATGAGTCCGGTCTTCAAGAGCTTCTCCAAACTAGAAAGAACGGCACGTGCATCCGTCTGATAGTTGCTGCCTGCAGATATTCTTAACCAGCCAAAGAAAGACTCGATGGGTGTAGAGGTCGCCACCTATTGACTTTGTAAATAGTCTGCCGCATTCCTGTGGCGCCCCCTCTCGCCGTACTTACTGGTTGTCGCTTGATTAAGTTCATTCCTCTGTTGTGTTCTAAAACATGTCGGTCGCATCCTGGCTCGCTACACCCTGTCCTCACGGTACGGGCCCTCAATCCATCAAACATGGTGTCAGAAGTGAACCGACCTCGACGCTAGCCTTCAAGGGGCACTGACACCCCAAAGGTCGTATTTATTTTTATTGTCTAAAACGATGCAAGTTGCAGCCATAGACACGCAAAAAAAAACCGCATCGCGAAAAAAAATTTTCCCGCGCGCACGCGCCCCTTTTTATTTTTGGCGTTTGATTTTCCCGCCTCTCGCCTCCTCGCTTCTTTTGATCGGTGACGTCAAAAATCAGGAAATTTAGAAGCTTTGTAGGCGACATCTCTATAACATTTAATTACGGCAATCCTAAAACATGTTTTTTAACGCAATTGCGAACGCACTACGGCCCTTCTTTTTGAAATACCAAAAAGTCGGGTGTTCGTTGTGGTGCCGTCTCCTGGATTTGTAACCTCCAACGGAAAACAGGCGACACCGCTCAAAACCGGTCCGCCGCAACGCCGGCGCTAGCCGGCGCTCGCTCCTTTCCTCCTCGCTTTGGGTCGCCATGGCAACAGCAGGGAGTGGTGACAGGAAAGGGGACTCTCAGGTCTCCGCAATTTTTGACGTCAAGGCACCGGCGCCGATCGCGCGGGAACTTCGAATTCGGCATTTGGAAATGGTTTTTTTACTTCACGAATACTGAATTCCCAAATTTCAAACTTTGAGGGTAATGTCCCGGCATCGTTTTCGACCGTTTCGGATAATAAAAAAAAAATATGATTTTGATGTGTCAGTGCCCCTTTCAGGACACTACAATCATGTCCGAAGAATCCAGCCCGCAGTGGGTCGGCGTCAATCTGCTGCAGCCGGACGCGTTCGACTTTTCGAACGTCAGGACTTGGCCGACGTGACGAGATCGCTACGACGACTATGTCACCGTGTCTGGGCTTGGACAAGCGCCTCAAGACGTCCAGGTACGGTCCCTACTCTACTGTATGGGTCCAGAAGCTCATCCGCTGCTCAACACGTTCTCGCTCGACGCGGCGTCCCTCGCCTCGTACCCCGCAGTGGTTGCTCGCTTTACGGCGCACTTCGCGCATCTAGTCAACGAGCTCTACGAGTCTTCGCGTATCCACAAACGCATCCAGCAACCTGACGAAAGCGTGGATGCCTACTACGCGGAGCTGTGCAAGCTCGTGAAGCGCTGCAACTACCCGTCAGGGGCGATAGAAGAGCGGCTAGTTCGTGACAGGTTTGTCGTCGGCCTGCGTGACACGCGTCTCTCAGAGCAGCTGTGTCGGAACGCTAAGTTAACTCTCGCTGAAGCCTGGACCCAGGCACGTCAGTCCGAAGACGCCGATAAAGAGAAAGCGTCTGCGCGGCCAAGCAACGAGAGTTCCCTAGCAGTCCAAGTCGACGCTACGAAAAAAGATAAAGTTCCATCCCGTCGGCGCTCGGACGCCAAAGCAGCTCGTGCAAGCGGAGCCCGAGCCAGAGCAGGGCATCCCCGTGAGTCATCGGCCTATTCGTTTTGCGGTCGCGCGCCTCACGCGCGTTCAGACTGCCCAGCACGGGACTCGCTCTGCAACTACTGCAGAAAGAAGGGACACTTCGCCGAAGTGTGCCGTGCAAAGAAAGTCAAGCAAAGCAAGCTCGGTTCTATCCAGCTTCACGCTGTGGGAACATCCGCTAAGGCTAAGTACGTGGACGTCACCGTGAATAACTACACTGCGGAATTCAAGGTGGACTCTGGAGCGGAAGTGTCTGCCGTACCGAGTGATTTTTCCAACGTGCCGGCCAAGCTTGACAAGGTTGAAAGCCTGCTGACAGGACCCGGAGGTCAACCGCTGCGTGTGTTGGGGTCGTATCTGGCACGACTGCAGTGGCAAGGGAAGACAAGCTCTCAGCGGCTCTATGTGATCGACTCCCTTTCCGTACCTCTTTTGGGTCTGCCGGCGATTGAGGCTCTCAAGGTTGTACAATTCCTAGGTGTTGTGGATGCTCCCGAGACAACACTCCATGCCGAATTGTTTCGCGGACTGGGCACACTCAAGGACGAGTACACCATTCGCCTGAAACCAGACGCCGTGCCATTTTCACTCAGCGCACCTTGTCGGATTCCCATCCCGCTGCGAGAGGTCGTCAGGCACGAGCTCGATAAGTTGGAGAGCGATGGAGTGATTCGTCGCGTCGACAAACCAACCACATAATGCTCCGGACTCGTCGTCGTCCCGAAGCCTACCGGAGCGTATCGACGCAGCGTCGACCTGACACGGCTCAACGAAGTGGTACTCAGCGAGCGCCACATCCTCCCGACAGTCAAGCAGGTCCTTGGTCTCCTGGGCGACGCGGCCATCTTCTCGAAGTTGGACGCCACAGCAAGGTTCCATCAGGTCAGGCTGGCAGCCGGCTCGCGGGAGCTCACGACATTCATCACTCCTTTTGGCCGTTATTGTTTCTGTAGACTCCCCTTCGGCCTCACCTTGGCGCCGGAGTACTTTCAAAAACAAATGGCCAGAATCCTCGAAGGACAGGAAGGCGTCGAAATATGATCGACGATATTCTCGTTTTTGGACGTAACCAGAAGGAGCACGAGGCTCGGCTCAAGCAGGTGTTGTCTCGGCTAGCGGGAGCTGGCATCACATTCGCTGTACTTACTGGTTGTCGCTTGATCAAATTCATTCCTCTGTTGTGTTCTAAAACGTGTCGGTCGCATCCTGGCTCGCTACACCCTGTCCTCACGGTACGAGCCCTCAATCCATCAAACAATGGGATTCCTTGTCAGCACGAACTTGAGGTTCGCTGCACCTAGAAGGTACTTAATGCACTCCACGTTTGATGTAGTAGTCATCAACAGTCCGTGATATGTCTCTGTGCTCAAAAACTGCTTCGGTGTGCACTGACGCTTCATGTCTTCAAGGTACTGAAGGAAGGATGTCATAAGGCAGGTCAGGCGCGCATCATCAACAGACTTGTACTGCTTGCTGTCTGGCAGGTTTCGATGTATATGTTGCACACAGTTGCTCACATTCATGAGAAAGAACCATCGGTGCATCTTGTCCATGAATTCAACTACTGGACCCACAGCTTCAAAGCTGATGTCATATATGTGACCTGCTTGCTCTTGCAGGAGCTCGAGGGCCGCAGTGACCGGTGGCGAGAGAGCTTGCACAGCCCTGGAGACGTCCATGTCTTCTATTTTAGATGGAAAAACATGCTTTCTTGTGAGAAATCTCACAGGCTTGACGAGGCTACCCTGCTGCATTCGGTAGAGGTTCTTCAGATGGGAGGAAGACACCTCACCTGACATTCTTCATCGGGTGGCATTGATCAAACGCGAGGAACAACTACCGTGAAGGATCCTCGGAGAGTAGGATGCAAGGTGTCAGATGTCCACTGCACATAAGCTGCATTGCAAGCCCATTGGAGTTTTGGTTGTCCGTTAAAATACGCACCACAAGAACGCCAGCCAGTTCAACTTCCTTCATGACGTATTTCATCAGCACGAATACCTGCTGGCCAGTACAGTTCCTGGTAAAGAAGTACCCCACAGGTATTCGAATGCGCACTGAAAGTCCAGTCAGAACGAAGCACAGGAGCGAGTTGGCCAGTACTGGTTCATCGTTGTTCGTAGCAAGCTCATTTCCTATGTCTACCTCTCCCACTAAAGAGTCTCTCTACTTGTTGTACAGGAGACGTTGCTGTATTCTCATTTTGTCAACTAAGGAGCACATTTTTACCTGCTCCGTCTTCAGGTTTGCCACCTCCTTCTTTAGTCTCTCTTGAACTAGCGATCTAAACCCCACCTCGCTGGAAGTCACCCCTAAGAACCTCTGCAACGTAGATCGGCTTGGTAGCTTGAGAATGCCTTCACTTCGTATGTACTCGTAGGCTCGTGCTGACAGGATCCTTAACAAAATGGAGTGGGGGACGGTAATCTCTGACAAAGCCGGCCCAATCTTAGAAAAATTCACTACGTGGTCTACAAGAAAGCTAGCGCCCAGGTGCTTCTCGTCTGCCGATTCTATTACCTTTCCAAAGGCGCTCAGGTGGCAGTCTTTTTTCAGGTTTTTGAGCTCTTTCTTGTATTTATCTACAGCCTGTTTTATAGGATCCACCTGTGCCTTCAAGTCTCGCTCTCTTTGTCACCACTTCTGGCGTTCCACGACCGACACGGCGCTGCGCACATCCACCTGGGTACCTTCATTTTTAGTCGGCACTTGCACGGCAGATGATTCGACTTCATAACGGGAGTCACCACTTGGAACATTTGTGCACATTTCGAGGCTGTCGTTACCTCCGTGAAGAAGGCTCTCTGAAGTGTGTTGCTTGGAACTAGACGGGGCAGCCAGGGAAGGGCGAAGAGCGGCAGCTTCTCGTTTCCTCACAGCGGCGCCGCTTCGAGGTTTCTTCACACTTGGCTGCATGTCATCTGGATACTCTTCGAAAACGCTAGGAGTTGCACCCCTCTTGAGTTTCCGTGTCTTGCATCCTTCCTTGTAGTCCGTGGTGAGGAAATGCCTACCACAAACGACGGAATAACGCGACGTCGTTTTCGGAACCCAGTCCTTTCTGGCGACGACTTTCAGCCATGTTTCTCTCAGCTGACTGTCGCTAGGAATCTCGTGAAACGAAATACCTGGTACTTCGCGTTTTGAGTCCGACTTGCATTTTGACACACAACAGTACGCCATGGTATAACTAAAACCAAAACACTTCCGAAAGTCCCGGCGCGAGAACGTGAAAAATAGCGAGGAGAAAGTTTCGCTGAGCGCATCGCCTGTTGTCGCCCGCGACCCTGCCCTGCCATCCGGTCATCCGTAGTCCTCCGGGGCTGGTGGCGCCACTTCGCGGAGAAGCATGGAAAATGGAAACGGCGACTCCGTCGGCTATGACCAGGCATCCCGGATAGAGAAGGCTATGGCCGAGTATGCGCGTCGCAATCATTGGGCGGAGAATATAGTTAGACTGAATATTATTTGCGTACTTTTAACTTATCAATTGCCAACATTACCATTTGCAATAAAAGAGTAGAAATCACTACCTTCCCACATTGCTCTCATAAATGACACTAATATATTTGCAGTAGCCACTAACCATTTTTACTGTAACCCCTCAAGTTACGTTACAGTGTTTTAGTACAGGGGCGGATCCAGAACTCTGTTTTGGGGGGGAGGGGGTGGAGTGGAAAATTTGTAAGGATACTATTCTCCCATTCTTTCGTGTGCACCGGGGGGTGCACCCATGTCAAATTTCCCTCCGAGGAGAGGGGAGGGGAAAGGTCGACTTTGTTTGGGGGGGGGGGGGGGGTGGCCGCCTCCGTCGCCGCCCCCCCCCCCCCCCCCCCCCCCTAGGGTACCCGCCTGTTGTAGTATTGCGCTAATTTAATGTTCTGCCCAATGTTTCTAGATTTATACATTTACATGAATGCGCACTTCCTTGGGTAATGCCCCCTGCATGTCCTCAAGTAAAATAACTGATGATGATGATGGTGAATACGTGCTCAGTGTCGATAACTTGGCGAAAACGTAAGTCTTGTGAGACGCAAAAACGTTATGACATAGTTTGCTATAACAGGGTCATCGCTACTGCAGGAATTCGTCGCAGGTGGAGCCTAACTCCCATTCACTGGCGTAAGCGATCACGGTCCTTGTCATAAGTCGCCATTTCAATTGCTCTTCTTCATTGATTGCACCAAGGTTACCGGACCCAAAAACTTCGCTATTAGAGGTATAATAAAACTGACACGTACAACCTAAGCACTGTCGCAGTATTGTTTGAGTTTCAGCTTTCGGTGCAACGCTGGGTATATGAATAGTAGATATATTGACTTTGTTTCGTAGTTATAATAACACGAATATGAGTCCTCGTGGAACTGCTGCGATTTTTCTTCCACGAGTCGCTTTACGTGGATAAGCATTTTGAGTTTTGTCGCAGACTTCACCAATTTAATCCCAATGCACATTTTTCCTCCTTCCCCCTAATGCTTCAAGAGACAAGGACACTGCGGGCTTTCTTTCAGTTGGTCTGGGAACTACGAACCGAACCAAGTTTACAGTAGATTGTCAACGAAATGCAGACAAAAGTCTGAATCAAGAAAGAAGTGACACAGCAGCCATGTCTGAGGATTCGGAAGACAAGGTCATTTGCGTGGAGGTTGATGACGTCTGCATCCCCGTCCAGGACAACTGTACGGATTTTATGGCATGTATACCTTGTTTGTTTTTAAGCTTGAAGCAAGTTTTGATTAAATTACTGTATTTCATTACAGAGAGACCTTGCACTATTGAAATTAAAAAGACCTGTCAAATTTACAAAACACATTCAGCCAATCTGCCTTCCTCCAAACTGCGAAGAACCGCCTTCAGATGCTGGCCTCTATGTCGCGGGCTGGGGTAGAACCTATGGTAAATTTTTTTCTCGCCTCATCCTGTTCCAGCTAACATTATTTTTGAAAAATCCCGAAGCTGGGTAAATATTAAAAAATGGCCATGTCGGTGAAGCCCCACAAAGAAGAAAATTCTTGTGTGCACGAGACGGAGGTCGATCAGCGACAGACTGCGGAAACTCAAAAGCAAAAAAAGAACCTGGTGCTGCTGCCACTGTCTATTTCCTTAAACAATTTCTCGCGGACGGCGTGCAGATGCTGGCTAGTTTCTGAAACATTTATTAAAAAAAATGTTTTTAATATGTTTGTACATAATGATCGACGATGTTCTGAAATCTTGTATTTGAAACAACACACAGGAAATACGCAATTATGTATATTTTTATAGTTAATAATGTGGATATATTTCTATATGTTTAATCTATGTTACCTTTTATAATTTTACGTTAGTATGCCACACCAACATTAAGAAGTACGTGCACAAAAATATACAAAAACAAGCAGGAATATTCGTAGATGCAAGAAAGGAGCTTGTGAAATTATTTGTTAAGAGCCTACCAAATAACTCACAATTCGTCCATACATTTAGACAAAATTAGTTTAATCACAGTTAAACATTGCTCTGAGATTGTCAGAGGCACTATATCATTGTCGATAGCAAAATTATTAAGAGTTTATCAGTGGCTCGTCGTTAAGAAAATAACTCCCTTCATGTTCCAAACGTAAATAGTTTCCTTCTGCGGCTAAAGCATTAAATAACAATCAAATTGATGTTAAAAATTATACCATGTCTTTAGGTTGTGATTTTTACTATAATCGTAATATCATAGGAAATACCTATCGTTATCAGTAAATACAAAACAAACTTTATGATAAGAATCTATCAAGTATTTATGAGTAAGTAATACGTTATTAATGTGAGTTTCATCACTAGTAGCCCAATATTTTCATACATTCCAAACACACTTAATAAACAAATTTTTTATTCAAATGCATTGTTCCTGTATGGCTAAAGCGATAACAGTCCCAGAAGTTGTGTTCTACAGATGTATCGTCTCATTCGTTTAATTAAGAACATTCTAAATTTTGACAGCATCAGATCTGATGCAAGTAAACAATTACTGATCAATTAAATTAATGCAAATAACATGTAAAACTTTGAATGACGCCTGTACCTAATAATAACCAAAATATATTAAAACATTTGCAGATTACTATACCTTTTCCGACGAGACTACAGATGGAATAACAGACAAAACGGATGAATACTCATACGAAGCTGAGAGTCCAACAGAAGAAGTTACGGACGAAACCTCAGCGTCGAAAGCAGGGAGCGCTTTCATGTTTTATGACCCAGTGATGTTAATGGAAAGAGATATAGCCATTATTACCAATGAGGAATGCACACGTCAGCTTGCAAGAAGTGTTCCAAATTACACCCTTTGCTCCGCTTCTGGAATATGTTATGTGAGTAGAAATCAGTTAGGACACATTCTCTTGCAAACAAGAACTAAGAGCGGTTTTTCCTCTCTGTTTTGGTCCATAACAGAGAAGAAAACGAAAGTACTCGATGTACAATAAAATATAATTATGCAATTATTATTGAAATATTGCTAGAGTAATGTGGATTTACCAACGTTGAACAAAAAGTAATGTTATCCTGAACGTCAGAATATGTGCAATTTAAATGAAAATTCAGACTTCCCAAAAAAAGGACGCGAAATTTTCTGGGTTCTCTTCTGAAAGCACAATTGTTTATGAGAACATGCGATCGAAGAGCAGGTACCACAACTTTTGTTTAACACTTTCGAAGGTAGATTACACACCAGGCACACGCGCCAATTCCCTTCTTGTTTCCCGTAAAAAAAGAAGAAAAAGAAACACAGGAAAACAACAAAACGAGAGCTTTCTTTTTAGTTATTACCTTTAACTATGACCTTTCTTAGTTTTTTATAACATAGGCAAGTCAGTGGGACGCTATTTCGTGGATCCGTTCATTAACAAGCTTTCAACTAACCTTTATAATTATTTCAGTAGCATCACGAAGGCCTTCCCTCATTGACAAATAGAAGAAATTGCAATTTAACACTCCTTGCGAACAGGAAAATGCGTTATTTAAATGCAACGTGTAAGTGTAAACCAGTGGTTCTCAATGATTAAAAGCTCGAAAGGAAAACGGACACAGAAGGAGACACAGACAGAGCGCTACTTACAACTGAACTTTATTTTCGCTGCAGCTCGGTATATATTACCGGCAACAGCACAAACAAGTTAGGAAGATATAAAATACACACCGTAAAATCTTTAAAAACAGCATAAAAAGACTAAAATTCCAGCATCACTCATCGGCACCCACCCGAAACTAGTCATGCTTGGTGAAGAAACTGGTATTCTTTTTCGCATAACGATAAAGAGGGTGCGCTGACACATTGCAGCCCTAATCTAGCAATTTCTCGACCCTCGACCATTTCTCTTGTGGTTTTGTTTCTGTTTTTGTTCAGTACTGTACAATCTGTGAAAATCGGAGTACAACCACAATCCCGGCAATGCACACCGAGGTGTCCTGATATGACGGCCTCAACGTTGTAACGGTGTTCCCTCAGTCTTTCATATAGGCAGCGACCAGTCTGCCCCACATAATGACGTCCGCACGATAATGGCACGGAGTACACAACCTCTTCTGTACACTCAACAAAGCAAGTTTTGTGCTTCTTCGTGCAGCCGGGTCTGCTTATGATGCTCGAGGTGGAATTTACCTTTTTACATAAACCAGCCAACTTGACAGGTGCTGAAAAAACAACGTTAACCTCTCCGTGCAAGCCCGCTCTTTTCAGGTTATGGGACACTTTATGTAGGTATGGTATGACCACTGGTTTCTCTTTTTTCTTTCTCTGTACTTCTGTTTTTTTTCGGCCAAGACACACAAAATAAACTGTCCTCTGCGAGGAATTGTCTCGGAAATGGTACCCGGCAGAAAGCCCTAGCAGTCTTCTCGCAATCCAAGTTAAATCTCCTGACTATTGATGACCCTTTCCGGGTTAGGAGCTCGGAAGATGTGATAGATGCCTTGATAGCTCTTCCCAACAAGAGCGCCTTGGGTTACTCTGTTGACATTAAGGATCTATATTACTCGATCCCCCAGGATGAGTTGCTGTCTTTGTGTAGAAGATACGATAGATAAGCATGGTGTGGTGGCATCCCCAAATGAGGCAGGACTCAGTGCAAGCAGTTTTCTTGAACTCCTGGCATTTTATCTAATGTCTACGTTTGCCACGTGGGACGAAGGCACTTTTATTCAGAAGACGGGTGTGTGTATCGGTTCGCGTATAGGACCGGTACTTAGCGACATTTATCTAGCGGCCCTTGATCGGATCATGGCTAGCAAACTTGAGGGTTCTCGGGTTGTAAGCATTTTTAGATTTGTGGACGATTTTTTAGTCCTCTTGGGCCGCAGCTCAGATGTCTTTGAGGAGCTGGTGTCCGTGACCCTGTTCACTTTTAGTGACTGTCTAAGGCCCCTGGTGCTAACACATGAAGTGCCCGTAAGGGGTTTCATTAGGTTTTTAGACCTGAGGCTTGACTTTCGACCGGGGCATGTATGTTGGATTTAGGAACCAAGGGGGAACAAGCCGAACTTGCCATTCGGGTCGGCGCACTCAACGCTCGTGAAAAGGGGGATAATGAATCTCTGCTTCGGTAACGCTCCAAAGAAGTCATGCACTCACAAGATCAACGAAAGTTTTAAAAATAAGGTGTCAAGACTCAAGTCCGCGGGGTATCCAGTCTCTCTTATATCAGCCGTAGCAGAGAACACTCTCAAGACGTTAAAAAATCAAAATAGGCAGGGAACGGAAGTACAGAAAAAGAAAAAAAGTGAAACCAAAGGTCATATACCATACCTACATAAAGTGTCCCATAACCTGAAAAGAGTGGGCTTGCACGCAGGGGTTAACGTTGTTTTTTCAGCACCTGTCAAGTTGGCTGGTTTATGTAAAAAGGTAAATTGCACCTCGAGCATCATAAGCAGACCCGGCTGCACGAAGAAGCACAAAACTTGCTTTGTTGAGTGTACAGAAGAGGTTGTGTACCCCGTGCCATTATCGTGCGGGCGTCATTATGTGGGGTAGACTGGTCGCTGCCTAAGTGAAAGATTGAGGGAACACCGTTACAACGTTGATGCCGTCATATCAGGACACCTCGGTGTGCATTGCCGGGGTTGTGGTTGTACTCCGATTTTCACAGATCGTACAGTACTGAACAAAAACAGAAACAAAACCACAAGAGAAATACTCGAGGCTCGAGAAATTGCTAGATTAGGGCTGCAATGTGTCAGCGCACCCTCTTTATCGTTATCCGAAAGATAATTGCAGTTTCTTGACCAAGCATGACTAGTTTAGGGTGGTTGCCGATGAGTGACGCAGGAATTTGAGTCTCTTTAAGTTGTTTTTAAAGATTTTTTTACGGTGTGTATATTATATCTTCCTAACCTGTTTGTGTTGTTGCCGGTAATATATACCGAGCTTCAGCGGAAATAAAGTTCAGTTGTAAGTAGCGCTATGTCTGTGTCTCCTTCTGTGTCCGTTGTCCTGTCGCATTTTTAATCATTATAAATCACCAACTCGCCCAACTTTCTACCCTCGTCAGTGGATCTCAGCCGCTGATGTTTCGCGGACCCCTTGTGGATCGGCGGGGACGATGGAGGACCCCGTTCGTGGTGAGGGGAAGGAGAGTATAGGTTAATTATGATAGAGATTTAATAAATGGATATGATTAAGTGCTAGTGTGAAGTAGAGCTATCCTACATTGACATATACACGAGAAAAATTCCCCGACAATTTGAACGTTTCTTCTTAATGTAAGAAAAAACAACTTTTATTGCCGGGCTTGACTGATGAGGCTGGGCTTCGCGGACCCCTAAAGTGCCTTTTCGGACACCAAAGGGTCCGCGGACCTCCATTTGAGAACCACTGTGTAAACAATTGCAGAGCGTTAATTTCGCGTTGCAAAGGCCGACAAAAAGATTCGCAGTGTTTAATTTAGATTAGCGTTTCACCGTGAGATTAATTAAAAATAGTACCACGAGACCTTAAACTTGAGAGTGAGCTCGATGCTGCCTATTGGTCCATTGGTTTGAAGACTTTCTTCCAAGGATAAACAAAGCACACACTACAGTGTTATCGATTGGATCGTAAATGTGGAATTGAAGCGAGCAAGAGACGCCGTATTTAGAATTTGACAACGCGTCCGGGAAATGCTCATAATCCGTTAATGCGACCCCGCAAGCTAGGCAAGCATAAATCTGTTGCCCTTTCATTGCAGAAACGAACATGTTTGTTCGCAAAGTAGACATTTATAGATTTTTAACGCGGAATGTCTTTCATGGCTCGTACTTAACTGTTTCCAGTTTCGGATTCTTGGAAGGACTAAAGAAAACTCGAATGCCAACCATTGCGCTGACGCTGCCTTCGTCTCCTGAGTGACTGGGCACAAGTGATAGCTGAGCGCCTGCGAGGTCACATCACGTGCTAGGGGTAGAGCGCCAGCGAGCGAGCAAGCTCCGGGCTTTCATCGTTATTGCCAGGCGCGGGCTTTTCTTTTATATATATATATATATATTATCTTGATGCGCTTTATGAATAAGCCCGTTCAGGAGGAAGTTAGAGCGCGGTGCGGCTCTTTCATCGTTTCCGTTCCGGTATTTCTTTTTCCCGGATTTGTGGGGCCAGAGTTGTCGTGGTGCCAGAAACTGCGGCGCTGCGATCGCATCTAGCTCGACGCTTCATTCCATTGCCGTACCACTGTCTTTGACAAGGCAAAAAAGAAAAAAAGTTCATAAAAGAAAAAATTTAAAAAAATGTCGGCCGTGAGAACGTTCGGACGAGTGCAGTACTGCTGCATACCCCAGGGAGTATGATAAACATGCAACAATAGACCGATCTCACCAAGCGTTCGGCGCATTCGTGACGCGGCCATAACTTTAGTTCACAGGAGGAACACAGCAGTGCACGAGAGGGCAAGTGCTGTCTCCTGCTCTACACACGCAGAGCTCCAGCGACGTTGTCGCACATGCAGAAAATCTAAAGTTCCCTCGATGCATTGCGGCAGCGGTGGTATAGTCAAACGGCTGGTAAAATCGGTCTACTCATGCAATATATATATTTTATTTTTATTTTTTGAAAGCATAAAACAAAATAGTTGGGTCTCAGCTTAATTTTGTTGTAGTTGCAACGGTTTTTCTAGAATTTTTTGTTGTTTTTGTTGTATACCAAGGCTTCGAAAACGCAATCCGTAAACAACAAAATCAGAAAATGTTACGAAAAGGGGAAGGCAGCTGCTATGGCATGCCTCACCAACTTGCTTCTCTAACTCAGTTCAAGAGATTGTACCTGTGAACGTCTTCGCTTTATTTATTCTACGTTTCCCAAAATGGCGAAACAAATATATTTTTTTTCCTGTTTTCAGGGAGACAGCGGGGGACCTATGATGTACCAGAAAGAAGGACGGTGGTATCTTGCTGCTATTCATTCCGCTCTACGCGGTAATTGTTATCATCCTGTTCAGCCCGGGATACATGTTAGGGTATCACACTTTGTCGACAGATTTATTTTGAAGATTATTAAAGACCATGAGGGGTCTCAAAAAGGAGGGACAAATGGCTTGTGTGCCAGCGATGAGGCGCGTAAGAAATGCGTAAGGGAGTTTTTTAACTCTTACAACAGATCAATTGATGATGAAATCAGTGAATAAAACTAAATTCAAGCTATTGCAGAACCATGCCATCAATCTTGAAGTCAGTTCTAATTAGTGACTTTTTCTGTATTCGTGTGAGATAATTTGAAACCGGACTCCACTGTGACAGCTTTGTCAGCGTTAAATCAGGGGAGAGGGCTTCGTGCAGCCAGGCTTCTGATTCAGTTTGGCTTGGTCACCGTCAGCGTGCTTTTTCGCCCAAATCTGAGTTTGCACACAAACGGCTGATTGGAAACGTCCCATTGACTTATGTTTGTTTTACCGAGCGCCAGACCTTCGCTGCGGGCATAGTCACGGAAACGAGTTCTTGTGATAGCTTGCCGATACACTCTCTACCGTAGCAATATATATATATATATATATATATATAGTTAATGCAGAGTGACTTACAGTGCATGATGTAAAAGGCGAATGTCTGTTTACCGGCACTTCTTGTGCTTTAGATCGGCACCTTGTCGAAAGGAGTCGTAAGAGCAATATTTTCTTTCTGATTTTTGCTATAGGTTGGTTACGGTACCTGCCAGAAGCCTGTGTCTGCCATCAGCTTACACGAACTCGCTGTTCATGGGAAAGCTTCCTCGAACGGCCACTGGCGACAAAAGAGACTAAACTCACAGTGACTGATCGAATGAATGGTCCATGTCATTATAAAAGAGACAACTACAGGCATCTTTCTCTATTTAGGCGCATTTTTTTTATCTACCAAACTTTAAAAGCAGTCTCAAAAATCTGTATCTTGCAAAAAAAAAAAAAAAATGCTACGTGTGAGCGGTTGTTTAGTGTTACTGTCTCGCCTGATATTTAAACTTCATCGCCGTGGAAATGCGCCGAACCTAAAGTCTCCAACAAAGCTTAGTATTGACTGAAAAAAAAAATATGCCAAATCGCGTGACAGTTGTGCATACGTGAAAGGTTCCAGCATCACAAACATTCAGCGATGGGTTTATATACGCCAGACGCGAACGTTCACGGCGCCCTTCATCAAATAGTTTACCGCGTACCATGCGTGCAATTGAGAGCTGTTCTTAGCATGAAGGGATACTACCGATTATCGGGCCGATAAACCTGACGATCTCCCACAGCCTTCCAAAATCTCGAGCTACTCCCCCTCAGACTTGTACACGTTACCAAAAAATAGTAAGGAATTACATTTACAATTACTCAAGGCTAAATTGTAATTTATTACAATTACAATTACCCTCCCATGAAAGTAACTGACCGTTACCCCAAAAAGTAATACGTTACTTTCGTGGCGTTACTTTCAACATTATTGCCCTCAAGTAAGAAACAAAGGGAAGAGGGTTATTCAAGTTCTTATTCTTGCCACCTGTTCCATTTAATGAACTTGAGTATTTTGAGCAACAGCTGGCTCTCGAATGGCTCGTCAGACATTTTGCATTATCTCTTACTCAATATGTCGACTGCTACGCTGAACACCATTTGAGCTGAGGCACTGGATGGGAGTGCCATATTGTTCCTCACGAATGCTTCATGCTCTGCATTGAGCTTTTTCAGCGAAGCAAGGGAAGTACTATTTACCTCGCGAATGTAGAGCAAAGCTTCGTCGTTGCAGCCGTTGCCTGCTATTCGAGAGATTTAGTAGATCTTTCCGATACCTCCGATGCCCGCGATAACGGTACCCGATAACATATGATGCATACGCAAAGACGGCTGCGAAGTATTGGATATCGTTATCGGACCGATCTACTAAAAGTTCCCGTTCTCTAAATCGCGAAGCTGTAGAAGTCATCAATAGCAAAACATAGTTGTAACAGTAAGGTGATAATTAAACAATAAATAAGGTTTGGCTCGATATTCTTCTTCCTTTGGTTCTGAACAGTTCGAGCCTCACTTGAGACGTTGGTGAATAAAAAAAAGTTTCCAGTATATAAATATAAGTAATAAAAGAAAAGAAGGACACTCATAACAACAATTAATTAGAACGTCGGTTAAAACAGGGAAATGTAAACGCACGTTCGCCGTGTGTACCTTTCTTGGTGCCGTTCAAAAACACACGGAGCACGAGCCGACTGCAGTTTACTCCGGTATTCTCCAGATAGACGTCTGTTGGACCACGGGCAGCAAAGGGTAGAGTACTAATGGTGAATTCGGGTGGTCGCCTGTCTCCTCTGACCTCGATTCAGCAGAGCGCCTTCTCCTCGCCGCCAGAGCTACTCGGGATCCTTTTCAGCCGATCACAACTGCTGGCTTCAGAGTGCTCCGAGATTCTCAGACCAGTCACGGAATTAAAATTTCTGGACATTGGCAATGCATGAAAAACAACACGATCTTACAGCGTACGGTGGACGATTGAGCAAAATATATGCTCGCAACGTGATGAAATAACGGTATTGACGTAATTTTTTTTACTCATCGGCATGTAAAAAAAAAAAAAGAAAACAGTATGCGAATTGATTTTTGCAGAACGGAACGAAAGCCAACGCTTGGAAACAGTTGTCAACTCATCGCGTTTTCGACAGTGAACGCGCTGCGACAGCGGTCTTGCCTACGACTGAGCAGGCGAATATAAAATGGTTAATAAACCGCATTTTTCTCACGGCGAAATATCGTGCAAGCATCGCAATGTGACACAAATCACAGTGCATTATATTCGGCACTCCCTTTATTTTACAATACAAACCTTTGAATGCACTTTTACCAAACCTTAAAAATTTCTTGAAGCGACTACAAAATCCGGTAAAACAGCGGCGAGCTCTGCGAGCTGTTTCGTCGTCGGTTAGGCTTAGCAGATTCACCGCCGTGAGATGAACGATCTTGTGTAAGCACTGGGAACACTTCACACGTCGGCTTTTCCTGTTACGGTCGCAAACGAATGTCGTCCCGTCCGTTGTAATTCTCGCACCGTCGAATGCACAAGCACTTTGTAAACCACACATCAATCGCCGTCATGCCGGGCCCCGCACACCACCACAGACCATAGCCGGCCATCGTCAACAAAACCACGTGATCACCGTCCAGCTACCACGGGACGCCTGCGCCGCTCCGTACTCCGACGGCTACAGTCGGAGTGCCAGAGAGCGCTCTGAGAGGGAGAGGCGCCCTCGGAATGAACCACCCGATCAGGCCACAGCACTCCCTTTCAACCTCCCGATTTCGCGAGCTCTGGAAGGAGCGCTCGAGAGCGCGCGGAAAGAACCACGCGAATTCGCCATAAGTAAGCCGCGCTATGGCCCAACTCACGAATTTCACTCTCTCCTCAAGCCCAGAATATCAAGTCTACGTCAGCCACCATTATGTTTTATTTGTGAAAATATCTGCTTGAGATAAGATGCGTCCTGCTGGGGCAAAACAGGAAGAAGAAGAAGAAAGGAAGACTGTTACCATTTTCTAAATGCTCGCAAAAAGCTGACTCACAAAAAGGGTAGGGTAGACGGAGCCTTTGTCTCCTGTTGTGACATTATGAAAATAGCCGTAGTCACTATATCCGAGAAGGACATTGTTAATTCTTTTCAGTGCACTTACCGCCTCGAGCTTCTCGAAGAGGCGCACAGTCACTTGGTGTCCTCCTCTCCCCGTCTTCGATCGCAAAGAAAAGACAAAGGGACTAAAAAAAAAATGCGGAAATAACTTGCCCCCCCCCCCTTTTTTTTTTCTCGTGAATTGTTTATTTGGATTTTTTTACATTGATGTTAGGGTCTAAAAAAATGAAATATTCAGGGGCTTGGTGTTGCAAAAAAAGGCTTTGCGGAACTGAAGAGTGCCAAGCCTCCCTTTGCGCTGGTCGATTCGCGTGACAGTGTCACTGCGTTCGACTTTACAAAAATGAAGAAAAAAAAAAGAAAAGAAAACAACCTTTACTTAGAATGGGGGTGGGGGGGGGGGGGGGGCGGTTCTGACAAAAAAGTAACGGATTACAAGGAATCCGTCACGTCAAAAATGTAAGGGAATTACTTTAAAATTACTCTAGAAAATGTGTAATTATTCCGTTACTAAATTACTGATAAATGTAAGGGATTACAAGTAATTTCGTTACTTGTAACGGATTACGTACAAGTCTGCTCCCCCTCAGTGCGGACAGGTAGTCAGCTCCTCCTCGCCTACCCCTCTGGTGACATGATCTCCCCGTTAATCAACTAGCGTTGAGCACCTCAGTCCTCCTCCTCCACCCGTCAACTTCGCAAAATGCCTAACATCTAGCAAAAGGACGTTTCACATTAATAAGTAATATACCCCTTTCGGAGTAGAGCGCCACCTATTGCACGCAACTGCAACTAGGTCCGCCGCCATCACGCAGGGGTCCCGCCAGAACCGCCTGCATCTTACCGCCTACAACGGTGCTGCTTACACTTTGAGTCCCAGTCTGCATGCGCCGCTTTAATATGCCATCGCATTGCTGCGTACCTTTGTGTACGCAGGATAGATACGGAGACGGAAAAAGGTACGTTTTAGACAAGTTCTAAAGTGTTCAAAAAGAAAAACCGAGTCCTCGTGTTGTTTACAAAACTTTCGCGGGTTAGACAACAAACGCTTTTATGAGGCCATGGCGCCACCCTTTTTAAAATAAAGTTAATCATCATCATCAACCGTAAGCGGAAGCATCACAAACGATTATATGTTGTAGTAGTGTGGCCGTGTGTCGAGCCCCGTCTTTAACTAGAAAGGTACGGCCGCGGTTCAGTGCGCGAGCGGCTCCCTCCTTTAGTGCTTCTTCACTTCAACCGAGGCCATTTTAGGTACTTTTTCGGCGTGTAGATGCATGATAACTTCTTCCGCAAGTTCATTTCCTTTACTCTCGCCGGTAAAGAGTTTTCCAGAAAACAGACGTCGGGTGGAGGTGGTGTACAGACTAAATGCAGTGTACACCGAATCTGAAGATCACTCGAACCGGCCTTGCGATCGTGGGAACTTTTGGAGTGGTGGCCTAAACAGAGTGCCAAGGCCGTACCGCTAGACGTTTAGGGACGTTGCGCTACTAATCAGTTTGGAAATTTGTGAGAATGCAGCCAAAGAGTTGGTGTTTAGAGCATGTTCAACAA